CTGTGTACTAAAAAAGTTGTATCAAGAAAGAATAAGCTGGTTTTAATTAAGAAAGGACTTGTATCGCTGAAGTTCCTCGGAAATTAACAAACGAGCAGATACGAAACAATATCCAACTTCATTGTAATAGTTGTTTTGAGTCAAAATTACGGTGAACTCTCTCTAAATACTCACGTATAATGATTGTAAATATTCTCTCAGGCTAGTATAATATTTTTAGGAAGGTTTGGAAATCGCTAACAAGGTATTCTGTAAACAGTATTACTTTTTCTTTGGATTTATAAGATAATATAAGTTTGTTTTGTAAGGAAATATATATATATATATATACAGATATGTATAAAACAGAACCCAAAATGCAACATTGTGAGTTTTTGAAGTTACATTCCTGTTTGGAAAGTGTATGCATATCGTACAATGACAGTTCTCAGTGTAATATGTTTTTTGTTTTTTTACTTGAACCAATAGACTTACAAGAATAAAGAGATCAATAAATAGCTTATTTAAACAACACATACTCCCAGGATACAAAACACGCTTTGTAAGGCTATACATTGAAGACACGTAACACATATTTTCTGGTTACATAATACATTTTGTCAGGCCTACAAAAATACCTAGTATACTCTTGTTTAAAAATGTATTCTACAGTTTATATACATATACTGAACGGAAGTAAATTTAACAAAGAATGACAACAATGTATATATAAATATCTGTAACTACTTATGAGACATAGTGGGCAGGTTGAGACTTACATGAACATTTTTGTTGTTTTAAATATTTTATGATTATATCCAAAACGATGACTTTATAAGGAAAGATGAAAACGCTGTTTTAAGTAACTTCTGGTGAGTGACATTAATATTTTAGAACTCATGAGTGAAAACAATGGAGAATATTTTTTAATATCTCGACAACACTACACCTAGTATATCCAGGCCCTTCGTTAACACCATAGCTCATTAGGCCGGCTGGGATACGACAGGCATAGTATTAGTCAAGGCATAATTGTTTACGAACAACAACTGTTATGGTGTGAACCAGATTAAACAAATGAATTTTAATTATTATCAATTTTTACGGTAAACACAACATTAGGAAGATATATAATTCTTGCTTGTTTACAGTCCACGCCACAGACTTCATCAATACCTTAATACTTTACATTTTTAGAGCATTGAGAATATTGAAATGCTTCTGAAAAAAATATTTTAGAAAACCTTTAAAATGGAATATATATATATAAATACATGCGAAATATATTTTTAAAAATCATAAAGCTTTAACACATACGCACTATTACCGTGGTAAGTAAAGACTCATGGCTCATAAAGGACCTTTCAGGGAATATATAAAAATATTAATTATTGAGTGGATACCAATCAGAGGACGACCCATAGGAGGATCAAGGGTGAAATAAAGGCAAAGTATCGAACAAGCAGTTAGAAATAGGTTATATGTGGATAGGAATGTGTGGTGATTAGGCTTACAGACTAACCGTAGGAAAAAGATGAACCTATACAACGCAGCTCAAGAGTATTGCATTTATTCTAGAAGACACACAAGTTAAAGTTTGCTTTTCATTAAACTAAGTTTCCATTGGTGAATTTCAAGTTTTATAACCGTAAATTTCAACTGATTCTGCTGAATACGTTCATCACAGCCTAGAACATATGTTTGGTAACCTTAGCGATTTTTTAATCCTCTTGTAATAGATTTATAGAAGAATCCACATAATTTCGAATACATCAAGGAAACGTTTCTCTGCAGTTATAATATCTAAAAGAAATTAGCTGGATGTAATAATTTATTCTGTTGAAAGAAATAGCCTCGAAAGACGGGGTGGGAAGAGTAGGGGGAAACAAGCATCTTTGGTGCGGTTTTTAAAGGAGCCTCGTATCATGGATAAATAAATAGAATTTCTAATATTAGGTTTTCGTACTTCTTCCCTATAGTAGTTGGTATAGTCTTTGATATCAAAATATAACTTTCGTTGTCTTAATTGTAAAAGTCGAAACATGTTTGTCTGTTTTTCAAAAACGAAAATCATTATGAGATTTTTAGCATAACTCCCACTAACGACATTGAAGAAATGCTAATAGGTTTGTCTTTAAAAGTCGAATTAAATCAACATTGGAATCTCAGAAGAAGAATATCATTAGATTAGATATGCACTCTAAAAACGAATGTTACTTTTATAGCTGATATTTTGATAGTGTTGTCCCTTTCCAAACAATAAAGCTTTCAACTTCAGTCACCCTTGACCTTTTATAAAAAACATGTTTTCAGTTTGATTAAAGAGTATAAATTATATTATAAAAGGTTCTAAGATGAACTATGGTTATAATAAGAGTTATCTTGAAATCTGTGTGATGTCAAAGACAACCTTTTTAACATCAAGGACAAAATAATGTGTGGAAACGCTTATTTGTTGAATATTAATACACTACTCTCCTATATAGTCTGGGCTACAACCATTATCAGCATAAACCATGCTACATATCAACGCCACCCATCTATCTTTAACAAAACCTTTAAAATATGATCATTCATTTTAAGATTGTCATTTCGGGCTCATTAGCAGTGTTACAATAAAAACAGTTTATTTATCTATCAGAACCTGCTTTTAATGCTACCTAGTCTTTCATACCACTTTTAAGGGATTATAATTAAAATAATAGAATGTGAGGGATTGATTCATTGTGACCACTAAAGACAGCTCAAGCAATTGTCTACAGGTTATTTTGAAATTCGAATTACATTTTAAATTGAGTTCAGTCAACTAAGTTAAATGATATCTTTACAAATTATTTTATGACTAATTTTACTTTGTCTTTGGATACCACATATAGATGTGTTCAACATAACATTAGACTTAGGAAGGTAAAGGTGCTCTCAGTTTTTCAATTGCAGTAAATAAAGTGAAATAACCTACAGTTACGACGGTCTGGCAACAAAATAAGTCGTCTTTTAAATTACTGGATTTGTGGATAAGGCAATTTTTTACAAGAAATTAATCTATCCAGTAGATGTGTACATTCTTTGAATTAAGCCAATCACAGACGTGATCTACAAAATCTAAGACATAAAATAATTTTGTTGTTAAGCTGTCTTTCCATTTTAATTAAAATCTCTATAATAAAATTATACATTTTAACTTCTTGCGTACTATTTGAATGACTCAACTGAAAGCTAGAACTGTTGTCTTTAAATATTTTACTTAGTTTTCTATTAACTGAATATCTTGGACACCGTAGATCATGATATTCCTTTTTTGCTTTTCTTCACATTCAACTCAAAAACTTAGCAAGTGAAGTACGACTAAGCCTATTTTACTACTATAGCATATACACTTCATATAATTATTTCAGTCTTTGATTAGAATGCAATATATGAACCAATACGAATATATATAAAGCATGATATATTTACGTGAACTTCATCTCGACTGGTTTTACGTCTTTCTCATCACCTAATATCAAACCATGGTTAATCTTGTTTAACATATTATATGTACTGACATAATTGAGGTTTTATTTTGCTACGTTGTGAACATTACATATTACGTATTAATCCAATTGGGTTAGAATTATTTGGACTTATTTTGAATATTAAATTCAAATGTCAGAAACAAATTTATAAAATTATACTGCTTTTAAGTAAAAAACGAAAAAATCTGTAAGTTTGATTTTTATCTGATACACTAGAATATCTATGAAGGTATATCACATCTTTTGGTACATAGGCAGAATACCTTTCACTCTTTTGTTTTTTGATATACGACTTCGTGTCCAAAATGACACTGATCCTGCAGTGTTTACTCACTGGTCAGAGAGCCCTCTTCAGAGTCTTATCAAGTTTGAAGTTTTTAACCATCTATTATAATACTAAATATTCGTCATATTTCACCAAAATACACAACCTTTGCATAAGCTTTGATATTGTTGTTCTACTGTACTTGGATAGTTAAAAATACGAAGATTTATAAGCAAGTATGCACTGTTCTCTTAATCCGACAAATTCGACATTTAACTTGACAACACCAATGAAATGTGCAACTACAACGTTCAGACTCTTCTCTGACTTCCGTTTTGTAGCCACGCCCACAACACATCAAATCACACCCATCCACACCAATTGAAGAATCATTACATTGTCTACCAACAGTTCCTGGAACTCCAAGTTTGGGATTGGGCGTACAGAAGTCTGGGGATTTTTCAAAATATACCAAATCCTTCCGGGTAGGAGGTTTATGGTTAGGATTGTAAGGCTTCAACTGAAAACGGTACTTGCGACGTCTTAAATGTTCAAAGTTACCATGGTTACTAACCATGACACGAGAAGCACCATCAAACCGATCCTTCAAATTATTTCCAACGTCCCGAAAAGACGGAAGCCTCATCCAGCAAGTCTTCACCGTGCAGCTACCGGACATTCCGTGACACTTACACTCGTGTCGCATCTCGCTGGAAACGTGCTGAAAATAATGTTTTACGTACACACATTAGATTATCACGAAAAATAAAATTGATATTAAATTTTGTAATTCACCTAGAAAGTTGTTTTGTTGATTGAAGAACAGCTTTGAAATGTTGCGAATCAAAAAGCTTACTGTTAAAATAAAAATGTAATTCAATCGAGTCAACAGATTTATAGTAATATATATATACACACATACTGCTCAGAACAATCAAAGAATAACCGAATTTGGAAGTTATGACAAGGCAAGATCAAAGATTATCAATCAGCTAGTTTTTAAGCAAATCACGATCAGTCACGCAAGTTGTAATACAAGAGATTGCTCGCTCAATCAATTCTCATAAATTACCGTTTGGTAGATCTGGTGTTACATCTTTACAGAGTGTTGGTAAGGTCTTTGGTCACTCTTGACCTGGTGTTACATCTTTACAGAGTGTTGATAAGGTCTTTAGTCACTCTTGGCCACTCGCTTGAAATAAATATTTTCACGAGAGCTTTAGCATTTTGGTCATTTGACGGAATGTGTAGCGTCTCCTCTTTAGTGCTCGATGGGATTAAAATCCATAAAAGGTCACTTCATTAGGTCAGTTTCTTCTTCAATTGATTAATTAAGATAACATCAAGGCAAACTGCACTGGAATCAAAGATGTGATCACCATTACGTGTGGCGTTGATGGTAGGTAACCTTCCGCAAGATGTAGAGGTCGCTGAACTCAACAATGTTTATATCATACATTATTTTACAGACATATGTCTGTATGCTAATTGGGTGGATGAAATTCCAGGCTCTCTTCACACGATTACAGGTCTATTTTCTGGCTGCAGGACAAAGCGCGACGTATCTTTAAAAGAGAATACTTCTCCGCATGTTTTTAGTCCACGAGAACGTGTTCTTGGCATCACTACAGGCGAGCTGTTTTGTACTTTTCTATTAGCAGAATACATATGCTTGGGCGTCTGGTATACAGGCTGGCCTTGTGAAATATGTCCCTAATCTGCACAGTGAAATGACGCCTAATGGCAACTGCAAGCATCTGATTGTAACGATCCAGAATCCGCAGATAGTTGACGTTTGATGTGTAGTCTGAACAACAGTACAACTGGTATGAAAACAGTTCCAGATTCTGCAACTTAAGACGCTTGGCCTGCTGTGACTGGCCGACAATTGCTCGCTGACACTCTATATGAGCATAACATCTATAATTCACTTCAACGTGACAACTGAGACAGAATTGTATGAGACCAGTGTATATAGTATAAGCTGAATGACTAATAATTTATTTTTCAGATTACACGAGTAATCATTCATTAGGTTTCTAACTTTTAAACAATGTGAGAGGTGATTCTCATATTTTGTAACGGTGCCTTGTCTTAGCTATAATATTAAAAATTCTGACCCTTCTTCAACAGTGGGTTTGGGTATTGCCTTGTCTTTGCTATAATATTAAAAATTCTGACCCTTCTTCAAATGTGCTTTTGGCCTTGTATTAGCTATAATACTAAATTCTGACTCTTCTTGAACGGTGCTTTTGGCCTTGTCTTAGCTATAATATTAAAAATTCTGGCTGTTCTTCAACAGTGGTTTTGGTCTTGCCTTAACTATAATATTAAAAATTCTGGCTGTTCTTCAACAGTGGTTTTGGTCTTGCCTTAACTATAATATTAAAAATTCTGGCTGTTCTTCAACAGTGGTTTTGGTCTTGCCTTAACTATAATATTAAAAATTCTGACTCTTCTTCAACAGTGGTTTTGGTCTTGCCTTGCCTTAACTATAACATTAAAAATTCTGGTTCTTCTTCAATAGTTTTGAGCAGTGTACTTAGCCTAACCTTCTCTTCCTTCACCTCTTGTCTTCCCAAACATTTCTGTATAGAATGCATATTTATATTATTTATAATATAATGCATTTTAATTATAATTTAGCTACTTACTAAGTATTAATCATTTTAGCGGAGAAAAAACTTATATATATGAGTTGTAAGAGGAATAGATTCAATTAGATCAATTTTCTAATCATACTTAATCTGCTTTTTATCTTTCTATTAATACACAATTAAAGTGCTTGTCACACACTTACAGTCTAAGCGGTTTCAATAAGAGCGGAGTGCTGTAGAAATTATAATATTTAGAGAAATAAAATGTTATAATACGCTCGGTTTGCGCGATGCGAATATTACGGATTAAACTTACCACTCTTCCTGCTTCATTGTTGTGCAAATTCATGATAAATCGGAGGTCGCGTCCTCTCTCGGCAGAATCTACAAACCTTCGGGCAAACTTGTATCCAAATTCGATATTGTCGCTGCATCCACCCCATTGCCAATCCAAGCCGCTAGGCCCACGATTCCTATAGTCACAAGTGCAAGTTTCGATGATTCCTTCACTGCATGCTCGTGAAACTGCGTGTGCTACTCCAGCACTTGTGATGGCATAGACGAAAGCCGATTCACGACAACCTAAATGGAACAGAAAACATTAAAAAGTTGTATTTATCCAATTTAGAACGGGAGCTGTACATAATAGATTTTTATACGCAATGAGCTTGTGCAGGTTTTAATACCACTTTGAAGTACTCTTGCCCGTTCTGACGATTATCGTATCAAGATTACATGACATGAACAAGATATGCTACTCAAAACTTAAGAAAACTAAATTTCAAAAACACATGAAATAAGTAATAAACACAGAAAACAAAAACATTACTTAAACTGGTGGGAAACGTCAAACCTAAAACATTTTTTTTACCATTGAAAGTGTTTTTCTAAAGTGCCCCAGGAAAATTCAAGAATTACATCGTCTTGTCGTGCAACGGTTGAAGAAATAAAACAAAATATTAAGCTGTGAAAGTCGTCAGCAATCAACGTTCTTGAACTTATTATTCATTTATAAAAGAAATATAAGTCATTCGGAAAAATATTCTTAAAATAACGGACGATGTAAGTGTACAATCAAGAAAAAAAGTGATTTGAGAGTGACTCCAACAAATAGTCCTTGTTTACCAGGTGAGAACCCAACAACAAATGGTCCTAGTTTACAGGGTGAGGACCCAAATTTAACGATGTAAACATAGAATAAATAAAAGTTCACACATTTTCTGTTTACGTAAAAGTGTGAATATATAAACAGAATGGAAATCATGGAAGTGATATTTGAAAATTTAAAGAAACTGTTAACCCAATGACTGGGATAGTTTCATGGATACTATAAAACCTTACGAACATAAACTTTTCACAAGACATTGTTTCTTCAGATTGTATGCATTTACAATTAAGCTTTCAACTGTATTATGTATTATGGATTATTAAGAAATGTTACTAGTTATTTTAATGTTTTATAATTTTACTGAAGAATGGTGTGAATTCACAGTTAGGTTAATGTAAATAATCGTCAGTGGTTCACTGGGTAGCTACATACATATATATTTGTTCTCTACGTGATATCCGTGGTTCACTGGGTAGCTACATACATATATATTTGTTCTCTACCTGATATCCGTGGTTCACTGAGTAGCTACATACATATATATTTGTTCTCTACGTGATATCCGTGGTTCTCTGGGTAGCTACATATATTTGTTCTCTACGTGATATCCGTGGTTCGCTGGGAAGCTACATATATTTGTTCTTCACGTGATATCCGTGGTTCACTGGGTAGCTACATACATATATATTTGTTCTCTACGTGACATCCGTGGTTCACTGGCAACTACATACATATATATTTGTTCTTCACGTTTATGTATGTTAACTTATTACAGTTAACAAAAACACTTTTGTATAAGAACTGTTCATAGTAACTCATATCTAACATATACCTGAGACTATCTAAAGAGTTTAGTTTCCAGATCTCTCTATGTGAAGCTTTATTACGTTCTCGCTACTATACTACCGATGTTACTCACAGAAGCTTTATTACGTTCTCGCTACTATACTACCGATGTTACTCACAGAAGCTTTATTACGTTCTCGCTACTATACTACCGATGTTATTCACAGGAGCTTTACGTCTCCCCAAATCGAAAGACTGCCAAGAAATCAGAATATATTCAAAATATCGATCTAACTATCTCTCTTGGTGAATCATATATTGATAGGAAACTTGTTAACACAACAATAACCAAGAACATAGATACTTAAACTCCACACTCTCCTTCCAATTCGAAATGATCATATTACTACTTAACTTACCATTATTACGCTATAAAGAAAGGACACTTTGTGAGTAACATCGGTAGTATAGTAGCGAGAACGTAAAGCTCCTGTGAGTAACATCGGTATTACAGTAGCGAGAACGTAATAAAGCTCCTGTGAGTAGCATCGGTATAACAGTAGCGAGAACGTAATAAAGATCCTGTGAGTAACATCGGTATTACAATAGCGAGAACGTAATAAAGCTCCTGTGAGTAACATCGGTATAACAGTAGCGAGAACGTAATAAAGCTCCTGTGAGTAACATCGGTATAACAGTAGCGAGAACGTAATAAAGCTCCTGTGAGTA